TATACAGTGAAAACTGCTTAGGCGACCACCTGCATTCGACGGGCACCTGTCAAAACGGGCAAAAATTTCTGGCACCGAATAATTTATCCATAGAGTCTTCGTATAAGTTACCTGTATTAAACGACCACCTGCGTAACGCGACCGCGGGCATCGATTTTTGGTCCGAAACAACATACAACAACTGTAATAAGCGACCACTTCCGCGAATATATCTGGTCTAAACTATTGTTCAACAACGTTTCCCCCCTCCTAATATAATGAATTAGTCTAAACTGTCGTTCGAATCCACCTCGGACACTGCTCCCACCCTCGAAATTAGATGCAGGTGTTAATGAATTAGTCTAGCAACAAAGGAAATTCATTTCAGTTTATTCGAAAATGTCCGAAAAACGAAAGAAATGCAAAGCGCTGTCGTTAGAAGATCGTGTTAAAAGTTATCACAACAGCAATTAGCGGCGAAGTTTAACCGTGGGAAAACGAAATTAATTTTACCGTAGACCTACAGTATTTTCCTTGGGGTATAAAATATTGTACACGATACAATTAATCGGCTGATCTCATCGTTTGATAAAATTTATTTTTATTTATTTTGAAGCTCATATACAGTACGTGTGCGATAAATAGTTTCTGTATCAACCTACCTTATTTCCACGATATTTTTAGAAAAATAACATCCAAGTAATTTTCGTACGCAAAATATTCAAAAAACAATAAACGCATTAATGCAAAAATCAGTTTTACAGGCAACCTTCCTTTTTCGAATGTAATGAAATCGTATTATGAGAAAAAATAATAAAATCCTTTTATTATTAATTAATAATTTTCTTGTTGTACTTAAGAAAATATTAAATATTAAAAAATACAAGATTTTTAAAGTTAAACTAACCAAAACCGAAATGATGTAGAGATATGACGCGCTTGTATATCGATGACGTAATACACGTTACTGAGGAGCCAACGAAAAGAATCGAGTCGAATTAATTAAGTCGGAAAAAAAGAAAGGTGCATTATAATCGAGAATATGCGACTATTATATTAATCTTTAAAATATTGCTATTAAATCTGTCTTACAAAATCACGACGACTTCCGTAAATCGAATTATCCGATAAGAATAAAATACAATACAAAAATATAGTCCTATCGTTGAAAAAAATCGCTTATTTTTGCTCGCCTCGAGTTTTGCTTAGTAGAAATGGCTAAAAAGTGCGCAAAATACGTACGGAAATACGGTATTATCGCACCACCTGTCTAAAAGACCACTTTTTGAAGGAACCGTGGGTGGTCTTCGTAGACAGGTTTTACTGTATACACGGACGGTTCCAAGCGAGAGGATCGAGTGGGAGCAGCTTTTATCACGTACAACAAGGCAGGCAATATTATTCACCGGTCTGCTTTCGAGCTCGGCGAATACTGTTCCATCCCACAGGCCATCTCTATCACCAAGGCACTCCACCACATCAATGAAGACTGGTTCCCTGAAAAAAGAAAATAGCTCGTTACAGCTCTTCGCTCAATTTCCAACACCAACAACAATGGCTACAATGTTACCACCATTCAGAAAATGCTTATCAGAAATAGCCACCACAATCGCATCACCCTTAACTGGGTCCGTGGCCACTCTGGGGTGGAGGGGAACGAGGCAGCTGACGCTATCGCCAAAAGAGCCGCAATCTCGTCCCTTCCTTGTTCTTACAGTAAGATACCGCCTTCCACTATCCATAAGTGGATCCTTAACCATCTTTTGCAAACTCGGCAAGAAGACTGGAACAACTGCACTACAGGCCGTCCCACTCGTGGCTTCATTCAGACATTTCTGCCAGGCTGAATTGCAGGCATCTTATTCCCAACTTTGCCTCGACTCGAGTTCTCACAGGCCACGGGAACTTCAACGCTTACCTCCACCGGTTCCGGCTACGGAACAGCGAGACCCGCAAGTGTAACACGAACACCAAACGACTACCTTCAACTATTGTTTGACTGTCCACCCTTCGACAGCAACAGAGAAAAACTCATTGAAGCTGCAATGAGTAACAACCATAACTGGTCGTGTCCTCTACAAGCTGTAGTATATGAAAAAGACGTACAATCATCCGAATAATTATCTGCAGAGCACCAAAGTGCATACAAAGAGAACGAGAAACACTTAGTCAGCGGCAGAATCCTCGTAGCCATGCAAATCTACCGAACTACAATGTTAACACCATACGTTAATAAAAATCACTGTATGCGCTTTTAGTGTAGGAATGTCAATTGTAAATACGTTTGTAATCTGATATTTTGTATTTGATTTGTATTGTGTGTTCTTTTTAACCTTTTTGAATATTATATCCTATTTGAATGCATCTTGTTTTTGCTCCAAAGTACTGTACTTTAGAACAAGAAAGTAATATGAAATTTCGTTTGATTATTTTTTATTTAAAAAAAATACCGACTGGCCTGTTTTTGGCCTTTTTCCAGTATTGTTTGGCCTTAAACAGAGATTAGGAGTTGGTAACCCCGCTATTAGTAGGGACGGACACGCTAGGAAGAGCATACTCGCCGACTTCCGTTCCGTCATAATTATAGTCCCAAGGGATTACCTATATTTTTGTAGTGATTTGTGTAAGTGTCGGCCACGAGTAACTTGGCGTCGAATCAACAGCCACTACTCCAACAAGAGGTATTATCATATAGATGTAAACTCTCTCTGGATCGTTTAGCATTCGAGTTAGGGCCAGTAGTAATAATTATAAACGCATATAGTTTAGGTCATTGACCTGTAGCGTAGTAACGCATATCTATAATTGTATCAGTCGCTCGTATATTGTATCTTAAGCTTTATTTTTCTATTAATTAAACTTGTTATTTAGTTACCCGTCAACCTGTCATTATTGGGAGTAACGGATACCCTTTCGGCTCGCCTACGCCACCTCCCCACTCGGATTATAGCCCTTTTATTTGTCTTTATGCGCGCTTTAGCTGGAGTTCTCGCGTTGCTTATTCGTGGCGAATATCACTATGGTAAATTGCTGCGTAATCGAATGTAATGCTGGTTCACTGGAGAACAAAGGAACGTCATTTTTTGAAATTTCCGGCATTATTCGTTATCGAGGAGCTTTTACGACCAAGGCAATTTGCGCGGCTCTGGAGAATTAACCAGAAAAATTTCAATACGGATAAAGCGAATATCGATACAAGAGTTTGTCATTTTTGGGTAAGCGATAACATTTGATTAGTAGTTATCGATGAATGATTAGATAAACTTTTGTACGAGTCGGTTGCATAAATCCCTTTGTTAATACCGACAAACTAAAGTTAAATCATTTTAAAAACCGTAGATTTTAGTTTGAATAAATAGATAAGTTACAACACAATTATTTTCACCCTTCGGTTTGTTTTCTTAGTCTCCGCTTGTAATAAATTACAGTAGAATTAACCCAAGATAATCGCTTAGCGCAGTGATGGGCAAACTTTTTAAAGAGCGGGCCAAAGGAAAAGAAGAAAACTTTAGGCGGGCCAATATAATTTTAACTTAGCGCTGCATCTGAAAATCCAGGTGGCGCTATAAAAACATGTGCAGGCCGTCCGCCATATTTCTTTTTCTCTCTTTCGGCTACGCTACGCACGACGAGTGGATGTTCTGTACCGAAGCATGCTTGTAACCGATCGAGCTTTTACTCAATAAGTGTAAAACAAAATTTTGTACATGATTGTAAATAAACTTTCATGGTGAGATATAAAGCTTCGGTTATTTTATATAATCAACGAACACTCAAGTTAAGTGGTGCATCAACCACCACAGCCTGTATTCTTTTTTACTCGTCAGATTAGGAATAATGTCGCGCGGGCCGGATAGAACATTTCAGGGGCCGCATCTGGCCCGCGGGCCGTAGTTTGCCCATCACTGGCTTAGCGGATGAAGAATTAGAAATGAATTTTGAACCAATTGTCCTTCCAGTCTAATTTACATAAATAAAAGCGTGCGTATTTTTAAGATAATTAGTAATTTCCAATAATAACCAGTAATTTCCTTTGTTCATTTACAAATAGCTAACTTAGGTTATTTTGGTCAGCGACATTGACATTTCTTTACAACGATTTTTTTATATTACTACGTAGTGCTTACAGTGGACGAACGTAATTCGTTAAGCCAAACAATTTTTCCCGTATAAATTAATGTAAAATACGATAATGCGTTCCGGACCGAAAAAAATAGTGAAATATTTTGTATAACGTTTATTGAAACACTGTACATCGTCTTTTCTTCTAGCGCGGAATGAACCAACCGACCTGGAATGCCAATTCGATTTGCAGGAAACAAAAAAATCACAGTTGCGCTATGTAAAGGCTATAGTCAAATATTAAAAATTAATTCATTTGACTAAAGATAGGCCATCTCGTATTAAATTTAATATTTCATTTTTAATTTAGATATTTCCAAAATTTAATTTGCAATTAGTCATTACATTTAATACGAGATGGCCCGTCTCTAGTCAAATTAAGTAAATCAAACTGAGGATGTGGCGTGTTTATTGTATAACCGGCTACGATCGTTGATGTTTATGTTACCGCTAAAGCTCGAAATCCGTTAATGTGTACATTACCTAGCTAATCTGCAGATTAACTAGGGTGATCCGTTAAAGCTGCAAAAATTGTTCAATTTCTCAAATTACCTAGGTAATTTGCAGAGTATCTACGTAATCTGCACATTAACGGCTTCCGTATCGTTAAAATTCAAAAGTTTGTTTCTTTCACTTCCTTTCCCCACTCCTTCTTTTTACGTAGATAAATTTAAATCCTAGAATGCGAGCAAGCACCGAATTGGTGAGTAAAATCAAGAAAAGATTCTTCGCAAACCTCTTTAGCGAAGATTTAAAATATAATACGTAGTGTTTTAATAACAAACCAAAGTATGATTCCATAATTGAAGATGTAAAGCAAATAAAAGTTTCCAAGAAGAAAGAATCATCTCGAGATTATCAAATAATTCAAAGGTGTGATGTGTTGACTGTACGAGGCTGTGAAAAACTCATTGAGCCGTTGTCAGATGCGCGAGAAAGGTTTGAAAAAGTTTGTCCATGCCGGAGAATTGTTTGACATTCGATAAAAACTGAAGAAGACCTTGAAAAATTAGAAGATTCACAAGAGACTGTGATTATGAGATCACAGTCAAATCTTACTCAAGAGGACATTCCGTTATCCCCCGCTTCTACAGAATCACCTATAGAAATACAAGAATTTACCGATAGTAATCTTAAACTGCCTTCTATACCGTTGATTGATGATGCAGTCACGAAGAATATTCAGTTACCCTGCACCTCCAAGGAATCGCCTCTGCAAGTTGAAGAAGTCATCACTGAGTTACTCTCAACTTCAGCAGAATCGCCATCACAGTTTCGTACGGAGCCTGTAAAGAGCACTATACAAGACATAGTCTGTATTGTTTGCTCAAAAGCAGCATCAAGTGCTCACAAGTGTAAATCGTGTAATATGTTTGTTCACGCAGTTTGTGGTGAAGTAGATCCTAAAGAGGAAGGGTATGGTAAGAATGTATTGTGCATCATCTGTAAAAAGAATATGGATCAGAAAATACAGCGTGATGAAGCCAAGAAATGTTTAGAAAAGCAAGCAAAGAAAATGTTAGCAGTTTCTAATGCAAAGCACCCAAACGTCGATGAAGGTTTCGCTGTGAGAATTAAAGTACCCGAAGAAGACAGAGCAAAAACTGATGCACGTTCAATTTTAGCTGTGGTTCTTAGTAAAACAGAGGATGGCTTTTATAAACTTGATACTAAAACAGGTATTTTAAAACAATTGTATGCAAAATCTGAATTCAGTGTTTGCAAAGAGAGATTTTTAACGAAAGAAGATGGATGTCCCTGCTGTAGAAATATCTTTACGTCAAACAGCAATAAAACAATCCCTTGGTACTGGGCAGGGTTTCAGAAAATGTGACTGCAAATCTAAATGTACCACAAATAGGCGTGCTTGTCGCAAAAACCAATTGCTACGTAATTCAAAGTGTCACCAATCTTTAGATTGCACTAATAAGTAAGTACAATTTTATCATATGTTTTGCAAATTCATTTCCCTAATTGTAGTAATATTTTAAACCGTTTGATTTTTGTATTAAAGTTTTTTTAATTGATTGATGATTGATTCAATCGACTAATTTGTTGATTGTATTAACTCGATTCTTTAGATATTGAAAATTAAATAAATAACATTATGTTAATTTAAGCGTATAGAAACGTTGCTGTTGTTTCAGCAAAGATCTTATTTTCACTTTACCGAGTGCCTAGTAGGTAATTTGCAGATTACCTAGATAATCTGAACATTACCTAGGTAATTTGAGAAATGGAATAATTTTCGCAGCTTTAACGGATCACCCTAGTTAATCTGCAGATTAGCTAGGTAATGCGCACATTAACGGATTTCCAGCTTTAGCGGTAACATTTATACGTAATGTGTCACACTAATATGCTAGCGGAACCGGTGCTAAAGAGACTGATGGAGCATGCGCGCAATCTGGCATTTCCCTCTCGCCATCACTCGTTATGCCAGGTTCCACCGTATTTGTTACTAACATTCGAGTCGTCCCTGACAAATTCTTATTATTTATATATAACGTACCATAATGGTAAGTTCTTTTTAATTATATTATCGAAAAAGTTTTTTCGCCTCAAAGGAAGACCTTCCTCATTTTACCATGCGTCATCACCAGACTGGGTGCCATCATCATACACGGGATATGACGGTAACCACAACCCAACTGCGAATCGGGAGCGTTATGAAATAGTACGTAATTGGGAGAAACGCGGCCACTCGTGGCCTCTAAAGATTTGTGAGCTTTTACAAATGAAAGAGAGCAATAATTTATCGTTAAAACCAAATAGTTTATGATGTCATCGAATTCTACTTTAGGCTACGACTCTCGATCTACAACGAAGACGCTGGCTTCGTATGGATCGACACCTCGACGTAATGAAACTGTCTCTTCGTATAAAACGGCGTCTTGTCCCGTCGGACTGCGATAATAACCCACCACGAAAACATCTTAACTTTTTCCACGCTATAAAAATACTGCAGTTTTATTAAGTTTATATTGAAGAAAAGTGTCAAATAACAAACGTTTGTGGTCTAGCGGAAGCTGTGTTTGTGGTCTAGCGGAAGCTAGACCACAAACATGGCGAAGGGGCGGAGTAAGCGTGCGTTTTATCACGTGGCGCGCGACCTCGAAACCTCTATACACCTGGGCCGTGTTCGGTAACGCAGGATTCTTGCTAAGTCTAGTTACGCCGCCGTGTCGAACTCTTTTCTAACTACCGTTCGACTCTTCCCACCGCTAGAATTCTAGCTACTTCGGTCAGCTTCTTTTATCTATGCTAACTTCTACTAGCGACGTCGTTGTTTTTGTCTCGCCGTACGATTTGTAAGATGGCTGCTGGTGTTGGACCAAACGTATTTTATTATAAGAATCACAAAGTTATTCTCTCATTCTAAAATGACTTGGAAATGTAAAATTATCGTACGTCGGTATAACAGATTCCGAATACATTTTAACGGAAGATAGCGGTCCATTTCGTTGATTATAGTTAATAATTGCTTTATTAATTTCGTCACGATCCGACGTAGCTTCTATTTGAATTATTTATTGGTTATTTCGTCCTTTTCGACCAGTTCGTTTGCCACAATTGTTGTCATCGTAATTTTATGTTCGTCCGCCATTTTGCCCGGTTAGAATAATCGTTCGATGACGCTCGGAACATTCTTAGCTCCGCCCACTAAGCCATTCAGAATTCTAACTTAGGTGTTCTGCGCTACTGAACACGACCCAGAAAACAAGACTGCAGTCACCACAAATCTGGTAAGAGCTCTATTTTGCGTTGACAATTTTGAATTTAATCTATTTCCTGATGAATAAACCATAAAATTAAAATTCGGTTAATACATTCATAGGGGTTAAATTTACCTTAGGTAGCCAAAATGGCGGCGCTTCGGTTAGGTTCGTTTCGTTTCCGTTAGATTAGTTACATTTTTAGTAGACTTTCCTTTTTTTTTAATTATTTTGTTGAAGAACTACCGTGAATCAATAACTGGTGACGTTTGGCATCAGCGGCTCCCCTCCGGGAGGAGTCCGTCTGGACCACGAACAATCGGAAGCGCCGCCATGTTGGCTACCTAAGGTAAATTTAAACATAAAATTAAAATAAACTTAGTTGTGAAATACAATTAAAAATAAACACAGCAACGATTTTCAAGTTTGGTTTTAATTTGTTTATAAAAAATTAAAAATGGAGTCGTTAAACGGGTTTCCTATATTTAAAAATATAAAAAAATATATTGTGGAATCAATTTGTAATGACAATACCTTAAACTGTTGTAACATAAGACTGATAAAGTTAAAACAACATAAGAAACACAGATTAAAGTATGCCAATGTAAGTATAGGATGACAAATCAACCATACAGGATTGTAGATATTTTCGAAACTTTGTAAAACTTCTTTCGTTGATTTGCATCTAAAATTTTGTTTATATATAATTTACACCAAAGGATAACTAGCTTGAGTAGCAATACCGCATTGATTTTTCTTATTACGACTCATAAGGATATAGCCGTTATCTCCCCATGTTGTTCCCCAACTAGAAAAAATAAATAAATATTAATTTATATAAATATAGGTAAATAAAAAATAAAATTTGAATAGATTCACTAGATGTAATTTCTATTAAATTTTTTATGTTAACTATACATAAGTTTTGTGTGTTAAAAATGTGTATAACTTTATATACAGTCGACCCCCATATAACACTGTTGATTTTTCCGTTTTATATGAATTCCATGTTGTACGAGTCACTTAGATTTTACAAATACGTGAGCCGTTCACAGCCCGGCACACGTATTTGTAAAATCTAAGTGACTCGTACAACATGGAATTCATATAAAACGGAATTATCAACAGTGTTATAGGNATATTTAGTATTTTGTAAATGATAATTTTAATTTTAGATTGAATTCATCACACTCACAGAACAGTTTCAAATCATTTAGAAAAATAAAAATTTTATATATATGTATATAAAATTAGTAATTGAAACATAAGTAAAGATAAAATTAGAAATTGAAACATTACAAAATCAAAATGCTAATAATTTTCTCTAAATTTCAATTGCAACAAAAAGAATAAAATTTGTTCTAAGATACTTGGGCTTCAAAGCTCTGAATATTGCATTAGGTATTGACTATATATATAAAAGGTAGCTACAAAAAGTTTCTGGAATTGGTTTATTAGTCAAAAGTACGTGTACAATTGACAAATCGAGCAACGTGTCCTTCAAAGTATTGTCCTTCGGTAACCATGTATTACGCTAATGCTGGTGTAGCTTCTGAAAACATTCTTGGAAGCTGTCTCGCAACAGCACCTGTAATGCAGATGTTACACTCTGTATAACCTCATCTGTATTCTTAAAGTGGCGGCCCTTGATGGCATCTTTCAACCGGGGTAAGAAGTAGAAATTGCATGAGGCATGCCGTGAGCATTCGTGGCACCGTGTGTTGGCAAACATGGTGCATGTTCAATTGATCGTGCAGGATGGAAGGACGACTTCAACCAAAATTCCTGCTGTCGTGACAATCTGCTCGATTGACTGCCATCTGTTCGAACTCACAGTCTCGCATACAACACACACTTTCTCCTCGGACATTGATGTCGATGGACGACCACTTTGCAAATCGTCGGCGATACTTTCCCGCCCCTCACGAAAGCATTTATGCCAGTCATAATTTTGAGAATGCTTCGTGGTAGATTCACCATAGGCATCCTGAAGAATCTGCAAGGTCTTGGAGGGTTTTCTCCCCAATAACACACAAAATTTAATATTTGCACATTGTTCTTCCACAGACAACTTCACTAGACTCCATTTCACAATGTCTCAGTAACACGACCTTCAGTGAATGGTAACAGTTATCATCTTTGCAGTGAGTATAGACCTGTTTGAACACATTTCTCTAATCCTGAGATGTTTAATTAACTAAGACATGCATTATATATACCTTTTTCCATTGTCTTTAACTGACTGACCCAGCATAATTCTGGAAACTTTTTGAAGCTACCTTGTATTTATACAGTGTATGTATTATGGTAAAAGTGATTAACTGCAATTATACATAATAGTCAGTTATTACACATAATCACCAATCATCTTGGTGAGTTTGATAAATTTCACTTTTCCTGACAATTTTACATAATTTTCAAATGAATTTCATCAGTTTGATTGATATCACTGAATATATTATTTTTAAAGTGATTTTTGCATAGTTTCTAAAATATAGTTCATAAGACTTACTTCTATTATAAACCAAATGGTTTATAATAGAAGTAAGTTTTTTGAAGTTACGGTGTGTGTTGGATGTAGTATTGTTTATATAGTTCATAAATTTGATATCATAAAACTTCCTGCCTTTTCTGGTTTTAATAAAGTAATTTACTGATTTAAACAAATTAAAAAAAAAAAACAGAATCAAAAGTACATTTTTTGGTTTTATTAATATTCTTCTCAGTCCTATGTCCTTCAGAGGGTGTGGTGATATTACGAATTGACGGCTTTAATTGTATCTTTCCACTGCTCCTGGTGTTGTCGTGTGGATGGTTTCATACATTGTATGTCCTGTAATCATCATTACTTGGTCTGCCCCATCTAATCCATCATCATCATCTAGGGCGTTTGCCATTGATCTTCCCTTCTAGGATTTGTTTCTCAAATCCATTTTTGCATCTAGAAATGTGTCCCAAGAAGCGAAGGTAGGATTGTATATTTTAGTGGTAAGGCTTGTTGTGATTGTCAGTTGATTTAGGATGGAGCAATTTGTTCAGTGCTCCATCCAAGAGATTCTCAGCAATCTTCTATATGTCCATATTTCAAAGGAATCAAGTTTCATCTGAGAAGTGGCATTTATGGTCCAGGTTTCCGAGGCATAAGTGGCAATTGGAAAAATAAGCATTCTAATGAGCTTTAGTTTGTTATTATCGAAACCGTGTTGTTATTTACATATTGTATACTGGCACAATGAAGTGACCTCTTAACTAACACTTGGCAAGTTTTTCATCTTTATTTAGTTAGTACGCCGTGCTATACATTTGCGTTTCGAGTATTCTCCCCTCTTCAGCCAACTAAACAAACATAAAACGACAAAAACTATACATAACTATAGCCGAGCATAAAAACTGAACATAAAACAATAAAAATTGTCTTTTTAAAAAACAAATAAAACGTACCTTACTCCAGATTTCAGACACTTAACTAATATATGGTGAATCCGTATGCAACCATAAAGGTCACACAATGACTATCATAATTGCCATTTTTATGCACCTTTCTTACAATAACACAATCGGGTTCTTTAAAATCCCAATTTCTAACATACGTACAGAGTTATCAGTAAACAGTAACTGTTCTGTAACATAAATTTAAGTAAAAAACCACTGCATAAAGGCCATTTCCATTCCTCTTAACACATTTTGTAGACTATCATCCCCACACTGTCAACCAGCCAACCAATTTGCATATATCACAATATACTTCTGCTTAACATGCAGACAGAGTAACCAATAAACATCCACAATTATGTAATGTAAAAAAAAAATAAAAAAACCACTATAATCACATCAAACACTTTCATTCCACCATACATATTTTATAAATTATCCGTTTACTAATTTACATATATCTCAGTATACATCATTATTATTTTAACACTTTATTTAACAGAAAATTTCTTTTTTTCACCAGTAAAACCCCTTAATTTTTTGGTTTATCAGATTGCCTTAAAATAAATTAACTAATCTTTATTAACATTTGGTTCTTCCAATATTCAATCGATCACAATATCTTCATCCAATTTTCATTAATGTTAACACTTAAATTCCTGTTAAAACAATTTTGATATTTATTTTTTATTATTTCAATGCTTTCTTTAAATTTTCTATCGAATGCTCTTTTTTCCCTATGCAAAATCTGTATATTTAATTGATCGATATTACAATCATTAGTTACACAATGATCATGAAAAACTGAATTTAGACGATTATATTTTAAGTCCGATATATGCTCTTTTACGCGTGTCTTTAATGTTCTTTTTGTTTCACCTATATAAACACTATTAGGTTTACAAGTACAGGGTATTTTATATACAATATTTTTTAATTTTGTCTTTATTTTCTATTTTCTTTTGTGGATGTTGTTTAGCATTTAATCAGGATATTAAATTTTTATAGTTTGGGACAAGCTTTATATTACTTTTTTGAAGTTCTTTATCAATTTTTTCATACATGTATGGAAAACTTAGATATTTAACTTTTGTTTTTATTTTTTCTTTTTGTTTAGCAGATGAAGTAATACTATTATCTATTTTTTGTTGCCAATCATTAATTAGTCTAGTAGGATATCCATTTAGGCTAAATTTCCTACGTAAATCGTTTATATATTTATTTTTATTTTTTTGTTCGCTAGTTCTATTATATATATTTTTGTATTCCATATAAAAAATATTCTTTATTATATGCAGAGGTGTATTAGANGTGTTCTTAATTGTCTATTTTCTGCAATGTGGGCTTTCAGGTAGTCTATATCAATAGCTAACTTTTCTATTTTAGTTAGAGCTTTAGTTTATTAAAAATAAAGATTTCAGAATCTTTCCAAATTTGAAATAATTCAGAGGTTGCATTGATAGCGAGGCAAATTCTGCTTTAATTTCATTATTGCATCCTCCTTTATTTGTAAGAAGTGATCCAAGGTAAACAAATTCATTCACCACTTTATAGCCTGCAATATCCTTAGTCTGTGTCAAGGAATGATCAATTATCATAACTTTCGTTTTACTTCCATTAATCAGCAATCCATATTCCCTGCTCTCAGTTTCAAGATGTTTCATAATATATTCAAGGTGTGATTCATTATAATAAGTGTATCATCAGCGTATCTCAGGTTGTTAACTTTATGGCCCTCAATGGAAATGCCTCCATCTCAGTTATCTAATACCCTTCTCATGATTAATTTCAGAATAAGCATTAAAGAGTAAAGGGGAAAGAATATATTCATGTCGTACACCACCTTCAGATGTAAATGTATTAGACATAGTTTTGTTAACTTTTACTCTTGCAGAGTTATTCTCATATAAATTTCTGATCTTCACAATTTCCTTTACCAGGAATAAACCCCAACTGTTCTTCAGCTATTTCAGGTAATAGGAAGGGTTTCAAATGGTTATTAATTATTACTTTACTGGTTGGATCATTACTTTACTGGCATGGTTAATTAGGCTGATAGTTCTGTAGTTACTACAGTCTGTTGGTGCACCTTTTTTATAAATGGGAATAAAAATTGATTTATACCATTCCTCTGGCCATATCTCAGATTTCCAAATCAAGGAACAGATTTTATGAAATATGTCAACACCCAGTTCTCCCATTGCTTTTAAAATTTCAGAGGTTATGTTGTCAGGTCCTGGAACTTTGTGATTTCTTAATGTATATACAAACATCTCCAACCCGATATATAATTATAGCTACAACCAACAGACTGCCGAAAATCTAACCGCTGGAAGAAACCCGGAGCGGGTTTCTTCGAGGCCAATCATTAATTAG